ACAGGTTTCTCCCAGGCAGGACTGGAACATCAGGACACACCTAACCATACGAAAGAATCATTAGTATAGGGTTCTAAGGGCATCTCAAGACAACACTTTAACTGACCATAACAATAAAATCAAACGGAACTTTTTGCTGGAATGGCTGTAGAAACTTGGGAAATTTTTTTTTTGACAACTGGTAGTACATGTGTTATGCCTCTGAGTTTTAACATAGCTGAGAAAAAAATATAATGTTGGAAGTATTGTCTCACCTGTACAAACTCTTCACTGCTCTGTGTCTTCAAGAAGTCGCCCGTCATCACAGGTTTCCCCCAGTCAGGACAGGAACATCAGGATGCACCATTCTATGCATGATACGGGATAATCAGTACAACGCAACAAGCAACCAGGTACAGGTGAATATAGAAAAGTATGTGAAGTATATGAAGAAAACTTACTTATTGGATCTGCATAGGCATTTTCTAGCCAGTAGTTATAACACTCTGTCAGACACAGTAACTGCTGACCATATATATAGACTCATACTAACTAGTAACTTTATTATTTGCCATACATTGTACCCGTGGCAATTATTGTGCAATAAACTTTGACTTTCAAAGTTGGAAAGGCCCAAAAGTTTGAACATTCTTCAAATTGCTATATGAAGAAAACACAAATTTGCCTAGATTAGAACAATATGAACAGTGTTGTTGTTCTTACATACCAGCAAAAAAAGCCAAGACAACAACAAATGGAATCCTGATATTAAATATACTCAAATACAAAATGTCCCACAATAATTTGTGTGCGACGAAGGAGATGGAAACTCATTGGTGCGACATATCGTTCCACAAAACGCAAATTTCTGCAGAATAAAACGGTTAAAATGACGAATTATAACGTAGTCTGTTGCTACAGGTTTGTTAGAAGTACAAACATGTACATTCAAGGAGCTAATTTGTTGCCTTACCTCGCAAGAACAAGTCTTTTTCCATGGCAGTCGCCATTTTCGTTCCCAGTCTCCACTGCAAAGGTCATGGAGCTGCAGCCGACGCACAGCGGCGGGACAAGTATCCAAGCGCAAATCTACGCCGACTGAACAAGCACCATAATTCAACTTTTACGTCCCAAAACTGACGTATTCCTCTAACATTTACCACAGGTTCCATCTCGATGCCATGCACAAAAATTCTCTGCACCCTTCTCTAGTATTGTGCAGCACTACTTTGTGCCCGGACTACTTTTGAGGGGTTCGCCCATAAATACTGTGTTGTGCGGCCTTAGTGTGGACCTCTCCTTGGTGCTGAACTCACCATCAATTTCATGTATTAAGTATTGCAGTTGTGGCCTCAATACGGTTTACGGTGGGCACGGTTTACGTTTCGACAGGCACGCGATACAACTTTTGCCTGCAAATTGCATGGAAGGACAGTCATATGCATGCATATACAAATGTATTCAGCATGGACGCCATTACACGAGCGAAAACTCTGAACTGGGGTTGTTCCGCCGCGCGGGCACTTTCATTTTGCGACGTGGCTCACTTTTCAATGAAAATCTATGCTTACCTTCCGAGCTGACAGAGTTGGCCATGGAACTGGACGCCTCAGGACTCTGGATGTTGTAATTTAGGTTAACTAGGAAGCATTTTGTCGGGTCAACGGCCCATTCCACGGGCCGGCGGGGGTGTCGGCGAAATATCCAATCACGCGGAGAAGTGTTCCGATTTTGGAGGAATGTACGCTCAAAACTGGAGGAACGTCCGCTCACCTGGAGGAGTGTACGCTCAAACCTGGAGGAATGTCTGATTTTGTGAGGAATGTGGTATTTCGGAGCAATGTCCAGATTAGATTGGTCGGGGTGAAAATTGAAATGGCAAGGTGCAGAATGCTGCAATTAAGCAACGACCACGTACTATGGTTCACTTGTACTAGCTGGACGTTTTATCACAAAGATGAGAGTTTAATGGTGAATAGATTGACCTGACTTTCCATTATGCAAACCTTAAATGGCTGGTTACGCATTGCGGCATGCAGACCCCATTTTTGAAAGAGTTTATAAATAAAAGCCAACTCACAGTCAAGTCCGATGTTCTCTTCTCTTGTATCCTCCTGGAATAATAGTCCTAGAATGTGACAGGTACACAGGATAGCTGACAGGTCCCACAGCACACACAGGAGACAGGTCCCACAATGTCAGCTATACATTAGCAGCATCTCAAGCCTAGGGTGTAAAAGTGCTATAACAATTACTCAGAGCATCATACATTGCAATATTTGTTTGAGTTCTATAATCTGCTTTGGGTCGGGGGCAAGAGCAGAGCAAAATTGCAGTCAACATTCAATCAAAAGTCAACATATTATTAGGAAAACATATCATGACCATGGAAAAATCAAAGTACATCTCACATAAAATACCTCAGGACCGTGAGTCACCAACATTTACACACAGAATGCCGCATTATTTCAAACATCAGTTCATGATCAACAGCATTCAAGCACAATTCTCATATTGACAGAACATTATGGGAAAAGATGACTTACATAATGCATATAAATCAGTAAAAAAAATTCAGAAAACAGGAAGAAACGAGCGTATCTAATGTAGTCATGTTAGTTCAAACCGGACATGAAAAAAACGTCTCCGAACGGCGGCTTTTACGTTTAAAGTGCAGGTTTAAACACATGGAATCGTCACCGGAGCATATAATTCACGCCATTCTGCGTTTTAGCTTCATTTCATTTCATCTCTTCTTTCATTTTGAGGTATATAGCCACCTTCAACTAGCTGAAGATACTGCTGCCTTTTTTGTGGCTAATACGAGATGGGGTTCGACAGGCCTCCATCCATGAAAGGCGTGTAAAATTAGTGCCTTTCCCAAGGACACAAGATGGTGACATGGCTGGATTCGAACCCAGGACCACTTGGTTCTGAGTTCAACGCTCTGCTGTTGCGGCGCCACACGACCCCAACGAATTGCAACGAGTTCGGCCCAAATACGAGAACATAGAGGACAATGTTAAGTGCGACTCACCTCCTTAAACGGGCGTAGCTTGTCTTATAAAAGACGAATTTTAACCACCGAGTTCTTCCCTGTCCAAGCACCGTGACTTGCCATCTTGCTCTGAGCAGCAGCGTGGTCTTACCACCTGATACGGAATCACCAGAATTTGCAATTTCTCAATTAGATAATTAAGTTAGGCCAGATTGATTTGATTATGGATGACATCCACTGGGAACCCCAAAACTGATGCGATCGTGCGAATAAAAAAAAGTTGACTTTATTCTGAAATTAAGGTGGTCATGAAGGTTGAACAAATGACTAAACACACAGAGTAATATTTTATTGGTATGGTGAGTAATAGACTCTTAATTTTCATTCTTTCACATTTGCTTCTTTTCCTTTGGAATGGATTTTGGCATTCTGCGACACAAGTATCGTTTTCCATTTTTTTCCAGTTGCGGCATATATTTGCTCATTTTGCAGCTGCTTTGTACGATTTACAGTATGGCCGAAAACTTGTACAAGCTGCAAATTTAAAACAAGAAAAGTACAAGAGACTCAGTATACTACATATATGCTGTTTTATTCTACATACATGGCTGACACAATGCACCTGACCTGACCGTAACACGGTCTTAATTTAGCGCCGCCCAGTGACGGTGGAATGTACTGCAGTCACCGACAACTTGTCACACATCACCCGACCGTGACCATCACCGTGACACGGTGTCATTTTAGCGCCGCCCAGTGAAGATGAAGAGTCAAGGTACTGCAGCCACAGGCTACCATCTGTTACGCTATTATAAATGGCAAGAACACGGAAGACATGTGGTATTTAGAAGTAGTTTCCATGCGTCGCTTTGGATTCAGTATCCACTATCCAAGTATCGAAATTTAGCACATCCTCGGTGGATGGTGGATGGAAGCCGATGGCTGCAGTACCTTTACCCGTCACTGTGCGGCGCTAAATTGACACCGTGTCACGGTCAAATGCATCCCGATCGTGATGGTGTTAGATTGAAGCATGTGGCTGCAGTACCTTCACCCGTCACTGTGCGGCGTTAAATTGACACCGTGAAACTGTCAGGTACAGCCCGTTTATGATGAATAATTGATGATGGGTGGCGCAGAATGGCCATAACGTTATAAGCTGAGGAGAACGCACGCGGTGGTTATATCGTTATTATAAGACCTGTCACGCCTACAATATTCTGCCTTCATATGATAAATCCATGTGAGCAAAAGTTACGATCCTCCTTCCCCACCTCTGCTTGGTTTTCATTCATATGGTAATGTTTTCGACAGCGAAAAGTCCACTTCTGCAAAGACGGTGACAGATTCTGCAAGCGATCAGCTGATCGCAAAATCATGTCTTGACGTATAACTCGAGAATGAAGCAAATTTGATGGAAGGTAATGAAAAGGAATAGAATAGAGACCACAAGGAGTATACTCTGAAAACAAGGAGGCCTAGAAATGTCAAAAGTTTTATTTTTCTAAAATTGAATAAGCGAATTTTCATCCCCTATCACAACCCCGTTTTCGAGACCCCGTTCCAAAAGAGGAAGCGAGAACCATTGTCAGATTTCGGCATTTGGCGAGTTGGGAAACGCGATGGGCTCTTATGGAGGTTTTACTTCATGTCTTTCCTTCTATTGTTCTTGACCTTGAGGCTCACTCCGCTTACCTAATTGTCACTAATTTATCGGGAAAGAACCGTTTTCGTCCAGCATTGGTTCATTTTGCGACAAACATTCCCAGAACAGCTTGTACAAGTGGCTGAATTGAGAGCTTTTTGACAGTACTTTTGGTAGCTTTGCGTTGTAGAATGCTGGATAACAATGTCAAAACATCACTAAGAATTAAGAAATTCGTCCGGATTAAAGAAATTATGATCCATGCCAGAAATAACACTTTCTGAACTACTAGTACCTTATTCCTGTACATGTACTAGTGTTGTGTATGTTGTACTTTTGAATATCACTCAGACAATGAAGCAGAACAGCCATCAGCAGTATAATTCTTCCTGTGATGATCTTTATTTCTACATCAAACACTTCACACACTCAAGATCAATACATGAACGGATAAGTCTCCACCTACATGTACAGACTGCTTCAGGCCTTCTTATAGCCAGGCCTTACTTTGGACATACTGGTAAGAACAACACTGGCAAATTCACCATATCATAGTATCAATACCGACTAGCACCCAAGCACTTTTAGAAAAAATTTCCTGTCTCCGTGAATCATAAATAATCAGGAATATCAAAATTATACACAATTGAAAGATTGAATTCTTAACAATCATACATTGATAAACCCTAAGGAGTTTAAATAAGTGTCCAGATGTGTGTTGAATCATTAAATGTTACACAACTGGTAAAATAAGCACCGTTTTGTATCCAGTTTAGCCCTGATACTCGCAGTCCTAACTTAAGACTGAGAAAGTGTGGTGGCTTTAATACCCCAAATTACTTACTAGACATATATACAAAATTAGAACAAATTAACACTATCTCAGGTCAGCCAATACCAAGCAGCTATATTCAGAATTAAATGGGGTAACCTCATTGGTCCTGCGACTGACCAATCAATGCCAAGATTGTGGGGTCAGCTACCAATCACAAGTCAGCCACAGTTCACCAAGAACATACCGGCATATTGCTAATTATAAGTCTCTAATCGATGTGAAGCTTTGTCTTGTTTTTGCACATCTTTTTCAATGTTACGTGACAAAGCAAAACATCTGCTTGGAGATTAGGTAACCATGGCACATTTACATTTAGTAAAAAAACAACAACACTGAATCTTGTCAATACGTACACAAGATACAAAGCAGCTGCCAGAAGGTCTACACTAGACCTTGTCATCTTAAAGCTGGAGGGCCCTTGGGAACTTGAAACGTCAACTTAACTTTAAAGTTTAAGTCATGAGTTACATATTTGTTGCTTCTCTCTGTACTGTACTATAATATATTCCTTTCTGTTATAACTTTATAATAGAGAGACTTTCAGCTTTAAACTTGGGTAGATTTTCCAAATTCCCAAAGTCTCTCCAATAGATGAACTCCATAATTACCAGCACCAGCGTTCATGTATACAAGTAACAAGAATACCAATGTAGAAATTGGGAACAACTTTTTAAACACGATTGACAACTTAGATGGGAATGAAATAGTAGCATGAAGTGAGTATGAGTCTTCAAATTTTCTAAGCCCTAAATATTTTCAAGAAATGATGCTTTACATGAAGAAAATCATGCAGATACATGCTTACAATAGACATAATACCCATTACCTGATACAGGTACTACTGGTAAGTACATACCAATGCCTTGTTGACTAAGAATGTTGAGCATAATGGTATAAAAAGCTCATTTGCAACCTAATATTGAACTGTAAAAAGATATGTGAATCAAAGCAAGTAGTACAATTCCATTTTCTGACTCATCAAAAGTTGAAATACAGAAGTTTTGCTACCTCTACATGACAACATGTCCTTGTGTTTCACTTCTGAAAAAAAGTTTGCACAGAAATACATTTTCCCCCAGCGAAAAATGTTGAAAATTCATATTATGTGTGATATAACATGGCAAATTTGCACATGGTGAAGAAATCAACAGTTTAACACTGATCTTGTGTCTGAGCACACTGCTTTTCAACATCCTATGCCTGTGCTTGATATCTCAACATAATATAGAGAATATCACAAACTTTTTAGAAGTATAAGCCCAAAAGAAGTCGTGATCATGTTTAGATCAACTTCAGACAATTTATCTCAAGCAACAGAGCAGCACGAATCAACTTACATCTATTAAATGTTTCCTGCTGAAAATGTTACTAAATTGCGTTATTCTCATAGCATCCCAAAAATTTGGAATGTCGATGTTAGGATTTTTTTTGTAAACGGTTACAACTATGTTTGTTTAGTTTTGTATCTTTTTCTATAAAAATTACAAACATCTTACAAAATGGCAGTTGTTTTAGTCACAGTCACATTACATTACAAGGGGTATAAGACATTGTCACTGGATGGTTCATAAACGTTTTTGTCCAGACTATAAGTGTTGCAATTCTTGAACTCATGCCAAAGACAAAGTCTGTACAAGTGTCTTAGACAGCTTGGGTAGTCCTTAACCATCTCTGGCCTGGCAAGATTATCTTAAAGTCAAGAAACTTTTTAAGAAGATGAATCTATGACCCCAACGCTAACTCAGTGCAGTAATTGTATGGTACGTACCTTGTCCTAACATAACATCATACCATCACAGTCTTTCTTATCAACATTTCACAGTCCCTATGTGCCTGGCAGTAGTCATATAAATGGTTGGAGAGTCTTAAAATGACTATCGGTACCTACAGTTTCAGTATACAAAAGAAACACACTACAGATGGAAGACCCTTGTTAAAAAAAGATACAGAATGATACACTTTTACCAACTGAATTGCGACGCTTAAAATGGGGGTGGGCTTAAATTTCTTTACATATGACTTTGTCAATATGAATTTTACATCCAGTTTGCCTTCCTAAGCCCCATAATAGCAGGTTCATGAACCATTTTATACAAAACATCTCCACTGTACATCACTAATGTCTTTGGAATTATAACATATCTCACCACTAGAGCTACAAAATGTAACACATGTTACAAACTACATGAACTATGACTACTCTACCATACTAGTTGAACATGATAGTCTTTAATGTCTTTAGATTTGGTCTCTCCAGATGACAGAATTCATCTAATACATGTAGTACATGTGAGATTGCGACAGCTGTTGGCAAAATGGCCACAAAAAAAATCAGGAAAGTTGCTAGATTGCGAACTATTGACAGATAGTTCTGTAGTACGAAACATCCGTAGAAAAACCTGCTAACTCTTACAAGGAATTAAACACTTCTCACAGTCTATTTTTTTGTCATCTTGTAGATGTGTACATCTTTGAGTACATGCAGTTTATAAAGTCTTGTAATATCTTAGTTTACGCAATAGCCTAAATTCTAAAACTCCATGTGAATCAGTTAACTGTATCTAGGTGTGAAAAAGATGCAAGTATCTTTTAAGTCTGAAAAATCATTTTGTGTTAAACTTCTTATTCCTTCTGTTGTAGAAACCTGCGTTTTACAGCATGTCTTTGCTGTTGTGAGGCTTGCTGTGGTTGGTTGCCCTTCTGTTTGGCTGACCTGGATTGGCTGATTGCCAGGCTTGTTGTGATTGGTTGGTTGGGTATCAAGCTTGCTGTGATTGGCTGTCTGCATGGCTGGTGTTGCATAGTTGTTCCAACTCGATGAGGTAGTCAGCCAACACATCCTAGCTGCCACCTAAACATACAGAATGTGTTTGTTTGTTTGTTTGTTTGTTTGTTTGTTTGAGTAAGAAAACCAGGAAACTGTCTTAAAGCATAACACAGCAGCTTGTACAGTAACAGTACAAGCTGCATAAGACCAGTTTGATTTGTGCCCTTGTAAAAGGAGGCCACACTGACTTAATTTTATGGATGACATCCTCTGAAGACCCCCAAACTATTGTACGCGGGCAAATAAAAAAATAAGTAATTCCAGCCCCCCCAAAAAATGCTGCTAAACCACAGGAATACAATTTACAAATTTGGTACTATTGTGAATTTACATAGCAACTTTTACAACAAGCCAGCACATGCTGGCTTTTGCAGTATTTATGAGTCGGCACTGTACCGAGTTCTGTGGAGCCCAGGTAGCCATCCTCTGTAGTTACCACTGGCTCCTACCATGGACTACGGAGGATGGCACTTATGCCAGAACCTCGTTGGAGGTGATTTTTTTTTGTGTGTGAGGGCAGCCGAAAATTAATTCACGTGTGGATGTCAACCATGAAATTAAATCAGTGTGACCTCAGAAGGATTACTAGAAGCATGACGTAACCTAGCTGATGTCAACTCACCTTTCTTCTGTCATCTCGGCCTGTTGCTGTAGTCAGGGAACCCTGGGAAGGGAGCCATGGGTTTGTTCATTCCCATCATGCCATAGGGCTGCAGCAGAGGCGGCTGTGGTCCCACACTGTTAGAAAAACCAGATCATGGAGGTCATTATCCCATTATCTTACCTTCATGTGTAACACCACAGTTTTTCAATTTCATGAGGTCAAAGGGTTAGAAGATAACCACCAAGATAAGTATCACAAAAATCACAATCTGCGAACTGACACAGGAGGAAAAAGAAGAAATCTTGAAAATGTACTTCTGTATTTTTTCATATAACAGTTAGCTGGTAAATTTTCAGTATTTAAGTAAAGTGAATTCATTCCTCGAGCTAACCGACATCTATCACACTACAGTCGTCCCTCAGTAAGACATCTGCATAGTTCCCGTTTAGAGCTTCTATTCAGCCGTGTGCGAGATGTCTGCTAGCTTGAGGAACGAAGCCACTCTACTAAATATCTGGTAATTTTTCAGGCAGTATTGAAGGACAGAGATTCTGTCTTTGCAAGCATAAGATTTCTCTGTTTTCCCTCCTGAGCATCAGTTTGACAGTTTGACCGACACCTCACCTGGAAGGGACCGGCACCCACCTGGCTGACATCGGAGAACTGACAGCACTGGGACGCAGAGGGGAGTTCTTCAGGGGGGGCATGGGAGGGGGGTGCAGGTTGGGAGGGG